AATTATGATTAATTTTTTATATACAAGTTTATGAGTAATAATTATAATAATTATAAATATATATATATTTTTTAAATTAAAATATTTGTATTTTATTTTCTTATATTTTTTCTCAATTTTTTTCTGCCTGGTAAGCACTCTTTACACTGTTCAGCTAGGGTCTGGAAGTGTCTGGCAGACCGATTGACAGCGCGTTGAGGGCAACAGCGATAATTGCGACATTTATGAATGCCCATTAACTACTTCAAGTGGCTTGAAATGTTATAGCAATGATTAAATTTGCAATTATATAAATCAGTGACGGCAGTAACAACAACAAAAACAACTGCTGGCCAGAAAAAACTCGCGCCGAGTGCAAAAAAAATGCAACGAAGCCGCAGACGAAACACGTAAAAGCAATAAAGCAATAAATTGCCCAATTTGAAGGACTATTGTAGCCAATAATTTGCACAGCCACTTGGCTGGTTGGTCGATTGGTAGCCAGAGTGGCCAGCGCATATATATATGTATGTATTTAGGTATGTGTGCGTGTGTGTGTGTGCCCATATAATTTCAACAAAAATATGCACATTTGTCAATGTCGCGTGATTGATGTGGTCGAACGCATTTCCGCCAAGCAGCCGCCGCGACGGTGAAGCCCTACAAAAAAAGCACAGCGCAACAATTTTTTACATGTAAACACAAACACACACACACACACACTCACGCGTATACAGTGTGTAAAAAAGGCGTGCATGTTGGGCCCCAAAGGATGCTGGCGGCTGTGTTGGCGACATTACGCGATTTTACGCATGATTTAAAATTAATGACAGCGGCGTCGCGACGTTGCTGCTGCCACTGGCAAGAGAGCTGTAACACACACACACACACACACATACGCACTCAAGTACTTAATGGGTGTGTGTGTATAAACAACACACCTTTGCCCCCACTCTGCGCACACACACACACACACAGACGCACACACTGGAGTCAGTCGCCATGCAGGATGTTTAATTTCCTAAATGCATAAATCTCACTAATACGCACAACAAAATCTAAGCGCGGCTTATGCGATTGCCGCTTTTTTTGTGCCCGACTACAACAACAACAAGAAATAGCAACAACAATAAGAATGGCTAGAGCCATGGCTACGCGCACAACATCCGAAAATCATAAACAAACTTCAAAGGACATTTACAGCGGACAGTCGGACAACTGGCCAAACAAAAAGAACAAAATATATATGTATATGTATATGTACATGCATATGCATGTATAGTAGCAGCAAAAAATAAACGAGAATTTCAGCCAATGCTGAGCTTATTACGCACAGATACGAGTCACGCACTCGCCCACTCGGCCGCACGGCACAAGCCACAACAATTCAGCTTCATTTGTGCTGCGGCTGCCCCACACTGTATACATCCACGTGCGTTACGTATACGCAACGTTGTTGCTGCTACCTGGGCGCCGATAACGGCCTACGCGCCCCACGCGCTGCTTTCATTTCTATTTCCGTTTTCACTGAACGCCGCCGCACAATGCCCACTTTAAACTTACGACTGTTGCGGGTGGTTGGGTGGTTGGACGGTGGGATCAGCCTCACCTTTTTTGTTGTGCGGCGAAGCCGTGCTGCTTGTTCGTTCTATCGTTTGTTTGTTCGTTTGTTTGTTTGTTTGTTAGTCAGTTTGTTTGCCGGTTTATGCTTTAACCTACGGAAAATTGCCAATTGTTGTTGGCATGCAAATTTATGGCTTATTTGTTTTGCCTTTTGTACTACACACATCTGTCTGCATGTGTGTGCGTGTGTGTGCGTGCGTCTGCAGTGTGTGCGTGTGTAGAAGCCGCTTACTACACGTCAACCCTTTTCAACAGACTAATTCGCCCAAACAGGAGCGTTTCAGCCAAAAGCCCATAACTATAAGCCATAGAAAATCATTTGGGCCTAATGTGCGCCGCAGACTTGAGAAATCACTTGACATTAAAGCAACTTAACGAAGGGCAAAGTATATATTAACAATGAAGCTGGACATTATCATTATTAATAATGATTATTGTAAATGAGAATATTCATTAGTTAGTTGCATAACATTTTAAAGTAATTTATTAACTTTCAATAGAGAATAAAATATGTTAAAGAATTTATAAAAATAAATATTAATAATGCTTAAAATATATTATAGTTTATATATTATATATATATTATAGTTACATTTTTTTCTTTTTATAAAATAAATAAAAATAATATAAAAAAAAAATATAGAAATATAAGAATATTAAAATATTAAAAAAGAAAAAATATATATAAATACTACTTAAAATGTATTAGATTTTTTTTTGGTACGTGCGCAAAATAATTTTTTTTTAAATAACCTTAAAACTGAAATTTCAAATGAAAGTAAGAAATATTTATTTCTTATTATATTTTATTTATTTTTTTTTAAATAAATTTCAAATTAAATTTAATTAATTAAATTTTTATAATTTTTCTTTTTTTTATTAATTTTCTTGCATTATTTTATATTGTTAAATTAGAAGAATTTTTCTTATTTATTATTTTCAAAGATTTTATTTATATCATATTTTGTTAAAAAAAAAATGTATATAATATGTATTATATAAAAAAAAATCATAAACTTTTCATAGTTAAACCTAACATCAACCTCTGGCCTAATTGGGCCTCTTTGCATCCGGCCCGTTCAGCCGCTCCTGTTAATTTTTGTATCAAGTTCTCTCATTGTTTAGCCGCTTTTTGACCCAAATGCCGGAAGTCGAACGATGGAAGCAAAAAGCTTTGACCTATCAGTAGATTTCATTAACAGAAATTTAGATAGGCATTAGTGTTGATGCCGACCCAAGGCGCAGACATCGACAAGGACCGGGAGCTGATCCTGGACATTGGATATAGTTGTGAATGTGGCTTTCGTGTCTTTGCAGCAGTTTTTCCTGTTTCGTGCTTGGCGACTTTAATGTGAGTTGTGGCAAATTACAAAAGTAAATGCGGAGCTGGTCTGGTCTGGTCTGGTCTGGTCGAGGAGTGCATTTATCTGGGCAGTGGAATGAAATCCTCCTGCGAGTCGTAAATTTGCTAGTTGCATAAATCACGCAATTGAATTCTAATTTTTGGCTTACACAGTACACACACACCCACACACATACACATTGTCCGATGACCAGATAGAGTAGAGCTTATTGTGCGTCTGTCTGGGCTGAAATCAATCATGATTTTTAATGCACAAATGGGAGCAATTACAGTCAGTCGGGCAGACAAAAGAATTTACACTTGATTTATTGTTGTTTAGCCTGCAAGCTGATTGTTTATGTTTATTCTCTGTCTCTCTCTCTTTCTCTGTCTCTGTCTGTGTTTGTGTGCATTAGTCTGAGCCACAAGGCTTCCAGCCAAGTGCAGTTTAAGTCTTTTGTTATATTTTACAATTGCAAGTTCAATAAGCCAGCCAACAAATTGTCTAGAATTTTATACTCTCTGCTGTGGACGGTATCATACTTTTGTTACCAACTGTGGCAGCTTAATCGGATCTGCTATAATTACCTCAAAGAAAATATATGTGCCTCTGTGTAGGCCAAAAAGTGAAATATCTGGCCAGCAAGTGGGTGAAATTAAGGTCAAGTCTGGCATCTCAAAATCGTTTTACTAGAAACCTGTTATAGTTACAAGTGCGCTTTGCCATGGAAATGCTAAGCAGATTGCGTGGCTTAGGCGGCTGCCCTCAGCTTTGAGTTTTCATTGAAAACGGAAGAAGATAAAATGTTTATAAATTTAAAATACAAATTTAGACTAAGCCAAGAGCTCGTGGCTTAAGCGCAGTTTGGCTGATGGAGGATAAGCATTTAATTAAATTAAATTAAATAAAAGTAAGATTTAAAGTCAATTAAATAATGCAATAGATACACAAATTAATTTACTAAAGATTATTTATTAGTTGAAAATGGCATAAATGTCAATAACTTAAATAAAATATATATGTATGTAATCTAATCTTATAATATTTAAACTATATATGTAATATATAACAAATATTTCTTAGTGGAAAATGGAATAGAAGTTAATAAATTATAATAATATCTATATGTAATATATAACAAATATTTAATATTTTGTAAAGAAAATTTATTTATTTCAGAAACTTGTCAAACTTACTAAAAGTCAAAATATTAAACATTAATTGATAGCTATTACTTTTACTTTTGAATCAATTAAACATTTATGCATATGTAAATTGCCAAATTATATTATTTATGTACACATCCAAGCATAAATAGTCAAAAGTCTGTATTTTGAATTTTTGCATTTGTGAATTTTATTTTTATTTTTTAATAAGTAAATAAATAATGAAAAACTGAAAAAATAATTATATACAGTAAGACGAATGAATAAGTTCACTGCTTGAACCCTTTATGCTCCATATTATGGATGGTTAATGTCTTATTAAGCCATATTATATTATATATAGATAAGGGATAATGATGGATTATATATAAATGATTGTGTAATTATAGTAATCCCTATGGTTCACTGCTCAAGGCTCGACTCAGGCCAGACGCAGCAGTTACATATATATAAGAAAATATATTTATATATATGTACATATATATTTTCTACACTCAAATCTCTCTCAAGTAGAAATCGATAACATGCACAAGTTTGCTGTCAACCCATACTTAACCTAAGAGTATTCAGACATTCACTCATCAATCTCGTTTTTTAGTGTATTTCGTGTTCGTCTTTGCTCAAATTGAACTATTCTTGGATTGGGTAAACAATGCGATGGACAAGTGAAAGTAAAAGCAGCAGCTAATTGACTATTTACAGTTAAATAAATCGCTTAAGCAGGCACACAACTCTCCTTCTCTCTCTCTCTCTATTTCTCTCTCTCTCTCTCTTACTAGTCAATTAGCACCTTCAATGCTTTTTGACAAAGCCAAATATTGTCTCATAGTGCGCGTTGGCCCATATAAGTGGCTTGGCCAAATTCGACTTGGCCAGACGTTAGCCAATCGTGTCGTGATGGCCAAGCATTTGTTATTCTTCGGGCTGGTGCTCAGCGCCTTGGGCTGCTTGGCGCTGGCCGATCTGCGCGCTGATCTGCGGGACTTCATGGCTCTGGTGCCGCGACGTCGCATTGGCTATATAGCCGCGCGCTACTATATATTCGATCCGCGGTTCCGCCAGGCCGTGGACTTTGTGCGCAGCGCGGAGTTCGCCCAGACCTGGCGGCAAATGCGCATGGCGCCCGAGTTTGCCGATCTGATCGACTATGTGACGTCGTACGGCTCGGGCTACGACGTGACCAGCGTGGTGGACAAGCTGCCCAATCGCCTGCGCGCCCTCCAGCTGTCGCGTGTCGTGCCCGTCGAGCTGATGCTGCGCCGTGATCTGACCACTTTTCTCCGTGAGGCCGTGCAGACTCTGCCCCGTGCCCAGTTCAACAGCCTGATGACGCGCAAGGTGCGCGAGGGCGGCGACTTTGCCAAGCTCTACAGGGCGCTGCGCGACAACGAGTTCCGGCAGCTGGTGGAGACGGCTCGGGTGAGTGCAGTTCAAGTTGAAGCGGCGACTGAGCATTAAAATTTCATAACGAGCCACCTATTGCAGCATTCCAAGGACCTGCAGGCGCCACTGAACAAGCTGAGCCAAAAGCACATCAATGCGGACGAAATCATACAAATCGTCTACGAGCTGATAAGTTGGGGTCCGTCGGTTGCTCCGGGCAGCAAGTTATAATTAAGTATTTATGAATTACCTTGAAGCACACGACTCATTAAATAACCCAGAACCCGACAAAACATCGACACGCACACACACAGACAAAGAGGAAGAGCTCCAAGTTAAGATGCTTACCCGAAATACAAAAAAAAAAAAAAAAAACATGCAAAATACAGCTTAAGTGCTTTTCAAACCCAAAATGCGACCGTGTCGGGGTCAGTTCCGCTACAACAATTCAAAAAGCAACAAACAAGACACAGAAAAAAAGGGTTCACAAACCCAAACCCATTCACTTTTTCAACTGACTTTAATGTTGCTGTGCGACGTGCCAGAAATGACAAGTGCTGCGAACATTGTCGAGTTGTTGCATCGATTTCTCACTCAGTTTTCAACTGGCGTAGGCGGCGCAAAGTGGCCCAAAAGGCAGCCAGAACAAAGCCTCATTTGCACCTGGCCGTGCACAATGTGCACTCATTAGAGCGCTGCATGCGTCAGGGGAGCAGCCGGAGCCAGGTGAGGCCCTCAATGGTGCCATCTACATATGTTATCTATGAGCAAATGGGCAAATGAGCAAATGGCATACGCATGCCACATTCCCGTTCCCATTCCCATTCCCATCACACCCTTTGGCCTATGGCATTTCAATTAAGTTGCGTGGCGCCGCCCGTGTTGCATGTCGGCGACATTTTTATGCTGTGCCACGCACAATTTGTTAGCATCGACACAGTTTTTATGGCTTGCCAGTTGCAAGCTGACTTGCCACAAAATGCGATCATATTAGCGCCTCAAAGCCAGCCGTTGCCAAGTTTTATTTTCAAGAAGCGAATTGCTGCCGCTGTTGCTGTTGCTGCTGCCGCTGCTGAATATGCAACAAAAGTTGCGAGCTTGCAGCTAACGCCCACAACAAGTCGGCGACGACCCACATCATTTTGGCGCAGTTTTTGGCTGACGCCGTTGCAGAGGCGTCCAACACAGCTAGAGCATAAAATCGTGCTGGAGCAGGAGCTGGAGCAGGAGCAGGAGTTGCAGCTGCAACGGAATCGGGCTGCTGCTGGCTCTACTGCTGTTTCTCCATTTTGCTTGACATTAATTTTATGCTGTGCAGTGTGTGTGCTGAAATGGGGTATACCCGGCTGCCAATGCTCTGTACTCTAATGTTCATAGTTGCTCAGAGCATTGTGCTTTACTTGCTCTCACATAACACGATTATCGTGGACAGCCATGCTTAGCCCTGCTCAGTCTAGATTCCCATTCAAGGAGTTTAGTCAAGGAGTATTATGCGGCTGTAAGAGTAGCTAGCTCGTTTTTGTTAGTGGCGCTGTTGCTGTGGCTGCAACACAACAATTTGCGCGAGTTTGTTGCTGCGTGCCAGGGAGTCGAAGCAAGAGTCGAAGCCAGAGCAGCAGAGCTGGAGCCGGAGGCTGCGCCAACGGGGCGAAACGCGCTTAAATTGTCGCATTTGTCTTGTCGTTTTAAGTTGCCGCCACGCTCGGTGACTGCTGCATTGCATAAACTTTGTGTAATCCTTTCAATTTGTTGCATACTTTTAGGCGGAAATTAAAATAACAAGCGCTGCGCTGCGCCGCGGGCTAACTGGCAGTCTGGCAGTCAGTCCGCCGTCTAGTTTATTCCGTGGGTTAGGGCTAGGTATTCGATTTGTTAGAAACTTGCTCTACACGTGTTCCAAAAGAGCACACACACACACACTCGCACACACTTGCACAATTAGTGTTTGCCACACAATGTTGCCTATGACCCAGCCTTGAGTTGTTGCTGCTGCAACTTCTTTGACTGAATTTCGGCAGTGCGTGCAGCCGCACGCACTGCGGCCACGCGGCCACGCCCTGCTGTGCCTTTAATTAAGCCAAAGTGCACCTCCTTTTGCTAATACTCTCTCAACTTTTTAACTGGCCTCACCGAAATAATCAAATTGAATGAATTCCTGGCGCAGGCAGCGCCTCAATCTCTATCTCTATACGAATTGCTTTGCCTCCAGTTTGTTGATTTAACTCATGCACCAGCTGCTGCTTCTATTGCTGTTGCTGTTGCTGTTGTAGTTGCTGTTGCTGTTGCTGTTGCTATTTGTTGTTGTCATTTGGCATCAAGTAAATAATTGCTGTTTGCTTTGTATGCCCTACGCCAGAAATCTGCTTTGGACTTGCTAAAGATTCTTGAGACCTCTGATAATATGCGCATTTTATATACTGTATACACATATATGTATATATGTATGTATATACGTTTTTGTTTAATAATAAATTGTATAAATAAATATATGTGAGCATATTATTTATTTAATTGCAATATGTTTAAGGTTGTTTACACTTTTTGTTTTAACAATATCATTAAAGTTCAATTGCTTTTTCTGATTTATTTTTTATTTTTTATTTTTATACAATTGTCAAGCAAGAGCGCTCGGGGCTTGTTATAAATAGCAAAGCATAGCAAACATTTAAATATTTTATTTATAAAATTATATTTGCTTTATGAAGTGCTTTTGAAATTTATAGATTTATTTATTTTGTATATTTTGTATGTTAGCAAAACTATTTCTGTCATTAAACTTATTAAACTTTAGCTGATATCAAATTTTTTATTTTGATTTATATTTAATTAATTTATATTTTTAAAACCAAGTGAACAAAATAATTATATATTTTTTTAAAATATTTATTTATGGTTATATAATTATTATTATTTTTTACACAATGAAAAATTAATATTAAAAAAAAAATCACTTGGTAAAAAAAAAAGAAACACACACACAACTAAGTTGGAAATTTATATAGTTTGTTATAAATTGTTGTTGTTGTTATAAATTTGATTTATTTATTTTATATTTTATAATACTTGAAGACATTTTTTAGATTTTAATTTAATATTTCAGAGAATAATATGTTATTAATATATTTTTGTATAATTATATTTTTTTTTTTTATATAATCCTATCTGATATTTAATACAGAATGTATATAATTAAATAATTAGTAAAACTACTTTTATTTCTTTTATATTTACGTATTGATTTTGTTTTCCATATTTTATTCTTTTTATAACAACCTGGTCTTCGAGAAAATAAAGATTATTTATATTATATAATATATTTATATTTAATATAAATTTTATCTGTAAACTTTAATTCTTCTTTATTTTGATGACATTTCTGATTGAATTATCGAAATGCTCTAATAGAGTATACACGCATTCGTTGGGCTGTGCACTTGACTATATAGTATTTCAACTCATGCTTGAGCGCAGCCGGCGCATCTACGTATTTGGCTTTGGCCGAATTCAATTCAGCTGCTGGCAGCCCTTTCGGCTTTTGTTGTAAACATTTTTGAGTGGCCGCGCATGATGCGTCGTTTTTCTGGGTGCTGCTGACTTGTTACCGCCTTAACTGTAATATCAGTTACAGAGCCACCGGGGCTGGGCATCCACTTCGTATTCTATTTGCAGCACTCACTCTATCTCTCTCCCGCTCCCACTCTGATTTCAATGGCTGAGCGTTGAGTGGGTTTTTTTTGCTGCTGCTGCTGGCTCTGCTTCTGCTGCTGCTGCTGCTGCTGCCGCTGCTGCTGGCCTTTGGCATGTTTGCTCCCGCTCAAAAGTTCTTATGCCTGTTGGTTATACTTTACTTATTTTAGCCAGATTGTCTGTATTTGCGGTGGTGCGTTTGTTGTTGATGCGTACGTGATCTGGGTTCAACACGGGCTCGCATGCCCTTTGCTTAGCAATTAGTTTTAAAATGGCTGCCTTGTTGGCTGTCCATGTTGATGTGCATGCTCTCTACCTCCACATCGCTCCTTGGCTTCGTTCTGCTCCATCTCCATCTCCATCTCCAGTTCGAGCGTCTCATTTTGAGCTGTACGCTCATTAGAGTTGACCTCGGAGCATTGTAAAAACAGAAATGGATTTTTATACTCTCCTCGTCGTCATCCTCGTCGTCATCGTCGTCGTCGTTGTCGTCGCTATAAAAGACTAGTCCGGCTGCTGGCAGTGTAATCCAGTCACACACACAATGCCCCGACCCCATGAGGTGGGGCCACAGCAAACAAAAAATCAACAACAACAATCAATGTTGGCCGTAATCAATTAACGATTTAACGTTCGCTGCGGATTCTGGCTAACTGGTCGTCGCGACCCGTCAACATTTGGCGCCAACTCCGACCCCTGACTCCAGTCTTTCAGCTTTAACTTCTTCTGCCTGCCCCAGCCTCACCTTTGCACAGCACAGCATGTGTGTGGTGTGTGTGGGTGGGTGTGGTGTTGGTGTGTGGGTCATGTGGCTGCAAAATTGAAACGCACCACATTGACAGCGGCTGCATGAACACGTCATCCAGTCACAAGGGTCGGGCACTAGCTCGTGGAGCGAGTTGCACCACCAAATGCATGCCGACCTTTAAAACCGGGACAGAGTTGTCGCTTGTGCTATAGCTGCATCAGATCCGCTTCGGAAAGTGTATTTATATTCGTTTATTAAAAATAAGGACAATGTAGGAAAGTTATTCATTATGGAAAGATTTCCTTATTTATTTTTTATTTTATATTATTTAGATATATATTTATTATATTATATTATTATAAACAAAACATGTATTTAAAATTTTTAAATAATATTTTTTTAAATAAATTATTAAAACAGTTAAAAATATAATTCGATATAAATAAAATATATTAATATATATATGATACTATAAATCATATATAGTATCAAATAAAAAAAATATATTTATTACGGATAAAAGTATTAAAATAAAATAATGGTATTAATAATGAAGCATTTAAAAAAAAAAAAATAAAAATAAAAAAAATCCTTTTACATTATTATATTTCCATAAATAAAATATGCATTAAATAATTAATATAAATGTATATAATATATTAGTAATTATATATGCATTCCATAATATGAAAACGCTTATTTATTCAACTGTTCATGAGCTCCAAGTTTAACTCGTTTAATTAGTCTGCTCTTAATTAAAGTTTGATCAGCTTAGTCATTCACTTCGCTCTGCCATTCACTGGCTGCATGTGAAAATAATTTTGATTGAATTTCAATTACTTATGTATTTGGAAAATGAAAACTTCAAGTTAATTTGTAGGCTTAGTTTGTGGACTCAACTGGAGCTAAGGGCAAGTTTTTATTGAATTTCATTCAATTAAGGCCACTTGACAACCCTTAGATCTGGACAAGCTACGCAAAAGTTTATGCGGGGCTAATGTGATTACTCCTGTCATTATTGCGTGGCCTTCTCTCTCTCTCTCTCTCTCTCTTTCTATCTCTC